TAGTAAAAACAATAAGGGTGTGAGAAGGAGACTTGGGTACAATGACCTGGTGAATAACTCTTCTCACAGTGGGGTACTCCAAGCCTAAGGGGGCTCCTGTATTTTTCTAGAAGAAAAATATCCTGAGAATCCTCCAAAGAGGGGGAAAAAAAAGGGAAAAAAAAAATCTAGGTGATTAAATGAACTGTACTACATGTGAGGACTAAATTTTTTGCCCGCTAATATTAATAGCTCCTTTCAACCAAAACCTACTGAAACTGTTGATAATGCCATACCAGGGGAACTTACACTGAAAAATAAGGAAAGCAAAGTAAGGAGTTAAAGTAAAATGGATAGATTTCAGGGAACACAGCTCTTCTTGTCCATTAACAGCAGAGTGCACCTCCTCTCACTTACCTAGTCAGGCAAGAATTTCCTGTTTCAGTCAGCATCTCCTTTAACCACTAGGAATAGTCAAGAAGCATGTACAGCACTGCCATAATCTAGCGTAGGAGTGGCTATTGAGGGGACTGGTCAAAATTTCATCCACTGTTTAGTCTCCAAAGTTAACCTGATTTTCACATTCCTTAACATCTCTGAGACTCTAGTCACTTTATTTTTGTGCCTACTTTTGGCAAATTGGGGGATATTATAACCTCTGTTATAAATGTGTGTTACTTTGTACTAGCAGTATTTATTATATCTAAGTTGGAAGATCTCAGACTGCACTGGGATATGATTAAGCATACAAGTATCAAGTATATAATAACAGCACATGAATTTCACATCAAAGAACCTCCTTTATAATTACTACATAATGATGGTTTTGGGGATCTTTACACATCAAAATTCTAGCATTGCAGACAGTCATTTCATATAAACAAAATGTTTTACATTTTGTTAACATCTGAAGCTATTTCCTGATAAACTCCCAGTAACTGATTTTGCATGTAGTCCTCTAAGTCTGGTGTTTCCGGAGTATTTAAAATGCCTTATGTGCTGCTGCCTACATTAAACATCATTTCAGTGATGACTGTGATAGCAAACAAATAAATACTAGGTAATTACAAAGATAAAGGGAAAATGGACAAATACTAGTTAATTACGAAGAAAAATAAAGAGGAAAAAAACAGTAAAAAGCTCTGCGGTATACTATATCTAAAATCTACAAAAGAAGGTGAAATTCACTTACTTGCTAATACCAGGATGGCAGTTCAAAAGATTTTTTTTCCATTAATAGGCCTAAAATAGTTTTTCCTTTGGGGAAATCCTATTTGCATGCGACTATGATATGAAATAAAATTCTGCAAGCTTTGTCACAAAGTTTTATTTCCCCCCCACAAAAAATATTTCCATGGGGATTGAAAGAAGAAACTTGACAGGGTTCCTTCCTCCCTCCCTACAATCCTTTGCAGAAAAAAAAAATCAGAGGTCCTTTCCCTCACTTCCATGGGTTATAACATCTAGAGTAATCCCTATGGCAGCTCTGTGCTTCAGTCCTTGCTCTGTGGGACTGCAGAACCTGGGCTTTTAGGCAATGAGTCAATTAGATACCAAGGTTTCTTTCACCCATAGAAGAAAGCTACACATAATTGCCTAACCCTTGTCATCATGCAAACCAAAAGAGGATCAACCTGTTTGTTTTCAACCTGCTTCCAATAGCAACGTTCCAGAACCAGCAACAGCCTAATGTGGGCACTTTCCTCTTAAAAAATAACGGGTCTTCCTTTAAGCCTAATAATATGAAAGCTTAAGGGGCTTCCCTTAAGCTTTCATACTTTTGGATGATGGTCATCTGTTCTCTAATGACTCGTGTATTATATTCCTTAATGTTCTTCTCCAGAAAGTTACTTTTAGGTGAAATATTTATTGTGTTCCATTAATTGCCACCTTATTTACATTTTAAGGTGGCCATTCCCTTTGTCCTACATTATTCCTTACTTTTTTGCCTTTTAGGAGGTGTAAAAGTGGGATCTTTTAAACCTTCCTGCTATTAATGTGAAAAAAAATTAAGCTATATTAAGAACCCTATGGTGTGGTCCTTTAATCCCCTTTTTTTAATTCCAGACTCTGGTTCCAGAAGGTATCTGAAAGGAACTGCATCAAAATAGTGCCACAAAGCGTAGCACCATCAACACAGAGATGACCAACTTTGTAAGCAGCAATGGAACCGATCTAACTATCGGCTTTACCTCTTCTGCAGTAGCTGTCTTCTTATTTGGGACAAACTTTGTACCTGTTAAGAAATTTGACACTGGTGATGGTAAGCATTTTGGGGTTTTCTTATGTGTTTATTACTGTGAGAGCAGTAATTAAGTTTTTATATGAACTCTTACAAATGTTAAAATTCCTAGTAATGTCACTATCAATATCAGCCACAGCCTTGAACTATAGTGGCTTAAAAAAGGAAGTACCACGTTTTTGCCTCACAATAATTTGTTTAACTGAAGCAATCACTTACATTTCAGACCGTGGCAAAACTGGAGAGGTCCTTTTATATGTTGCTGTGCACTTTGAGGTGGGCAGTATGCATTTAAGAAGTTTTGCTGGCTAATAAAGCAAAAATGAGGTACCTCATTTCAGATTCTCAAACATACCATGACAGACAAAGCTCTTTGGGTAAATCTGATATCTTTTATTAGACCAACTCAAACAGTTGGAAAAATTCTTCTTAGCAAGCTTTGAAGTTTAAATACCCTTTGTCAGGCTGAGGGTGCCTCTGCAGTTGGTGTGTACTCTTCCTGGATGGAAGAAATAGTTAAGAGAGGCTGACATGATTACAGAGCCATTGACCATCATCTTTGAAAACTGGTGGCAATCAGGACAGGTCCTGGATGATTGGAAAAGGGCAAACCTAGTGCTCATATTTAAGGAAGGAGAAAAGGAAGATCAAGGGAACTACAAGGTAGTCAGCCTCACCTCAGTCCTTGTAAAAAATCATGGAGCAGTTCCTCAAGGAATACATTTCTAAGCACTTGGAGGAGAAAAAAAGTGATTACAAACAGTAAGCCGGGATTCAGCAGGGGGCAAGTTATGTCTGTCCAACCTGATTATCTTCTGTGATGAGATGACTGGCTCTGTGGATGTGGGGAGACTGGTGGATGTGGTGTGGCTTGTGGTGAATCCCACAACATTCTTGCAGGCAAGCTAAGGAAGTATGGGTTGGATGAACAGCCTGTAAGGAGGATAGAAAACTGGCTGGAGCATCAGGCTCAGAGAGTAGTAATCAATGACTCAATGTCTAGTTGGTAGACGGTATCAAGTGGAGTGCCCCAGGGATTGGTCCTGGGGCCATTTTTGTTCGATGTCTTCATCAACGACCTGGAAGATGGCATGGGGGCGGGGGGCATGACTTATGAGGAAAGACTGAGGGAACTGGTCTTATTTAGTTTAGAGAAGTGGAGACTGAGGAGTGACTTAGTAGCAACCTTCAACTATGTGAAGGAGGGTTCAAAAGGATGGAGCTTATCTGTTCTTAGTGGTGGCAGATGACAGAAGAAGGAGCCAAGGTAACAGAACAGGTGTCAAATTGCAACAAGGGAAGTTTAGGTTAGATATTAGGAAAAATTTTCTCACTAGGAGGGTAGTAAAACACTGGAACAGGTTACCCAGAGTGATGGTGAAAGCTCCATCCTTGGAGGTTTTCAAAACCTGGCTAGACAAAGTTTGGCTGGGATGACCTAGTTGGTGATGGTTCTGCTTTGAGCAGGTGGTTGGACTAGATGACCTCCTCAGGTCCCTTCCAACCCTAATTGTCTATTATTCTATGAAGTCTGGCCTGAAAGCTAGCAAATGTGTTACTGAAAACGCCTGAAGAGGTGTGTCCCATACACTGCCAGTTAAGGCAACCTTAAAGTTATCCTTTCTTGCACTGGAACCAAGTCAGTGATAGCTACTGAAAGGAGTGGGGGGAGCTCTATCTTCTTCAAGATCCAAGCAGAGCTCACATATATCTGTAATAACCTTAACAAAAAAGTGCCTTTGCCTGCTTCTCTGCAGGGCATGTGAGAAGCCAGAAATAAACGTCCCAAAGTACAACCTTTTTAAAAAGAATTTAACATGGGTACATTGCACAAAGACTATGACCAGATTTCAGTTGTGTCTACACAATTTCATATGAGATATAGTATGTTAACAAGAAGTAACTAGTTCCTACATACATTAATCTAAAAGTAATCTGACATTTAACTATTTCCTGTAAAATATTAACAAATTCATTTTTTTGCTTCTCAGGAATGTTCTTCCAGTGGATTCTCTGTGCTGCAATATGGATAGTTTCTTTGGTGGTCAACCTTATCCAAAAATGTCCCCAGTTCTGGCCTCTGGCTATGCTTGGGGGGGTTGTATGGGCTACAGGTAATAAAAAAGAGATACTACTTCTTCAAAGATGCAACAAAACTATCTTCCCAGAGGAGACAATAACAATACTGAAGTAGTTAATATATAAAGTGTATCTTTTGTTATTACAAAAACTGACAGGACCCTGCCATTGCTGTATGTATTATCTTGAACAAAACATTTTATAATTACATCATTAGTATTAAGTAACATTGGTCTTACACAGCTTCCCTTGAAAACCAATATCAGAACATCAGAGTTTGATAAGGACTGAAAAAAACAGATGGTGCTAAAAACACTTATATTTCTATATCTATTTAAAAGATATTTCTAGATCTATTATAAATCTATCTTAAATATATAATGGAAGTTTTTACCAAAATGTACCTCTAAAGTAAGCTTTTGAACTAGTTAACTGATTTTCAAGTGTTGAACATCCAGCCCTTCCCTCTAATCACAGTGGAAGCTGCTGGGTGATAAGCACTGAGCTTTTTCCTAATTTGTGGATTCTTTTCAAATTGGATTGACATAAATTAAACCTTAAAGACACATACAAGAAAGGAGTCATGGATTATCCAGTGAATAGTCAGAGACAGGCTTGGGTGTTTTAATTTAGTTGATCTGAGAAAAATAATTTAAAACTTTAAAAGGCCCCTAAACTGGACTACAGCTAAAAATGAGTGGCATTGCATAGACTAAAATTTTCTCATTAGTAGTGTTCTTCACTCTTGTTAGTGGCTTCACTGCTAGCATGAGACTCAGTGAACTACACAAAACCATTCTGTATGACATTCACAACTGGGTAGAAAGTTTAAAAATAGTCCCACGTATCATATTTAGATTCTGATCTTGTTCAAATCATCTGGCCTTTAAATCATATTGAAATGCAAAGTGAAAATACAATTAGGATTTATCCTTATAATAACATAATTTGGATTATGTTTTCTGTATTGCAGGTAATATTACTGTTGTCCCCATTCTTAAAACCATTGGCTTAGGTCTTGGGCTCTTAATCTGGGCTTCTTTTAATTTGCTAACTGGCTGGGCAAGTTCAAGGTAAACATATTTAAAACTTACATTATACCTTATAAATGCTGTCAGTTCTTCAATAACAACTCTAATGAAAACATGTTGTGTACATATATGTATGTGTGTGTATAATGCAATATTACTGTTCACATTTGCTCACTCAGCTGATTGAGGGTATAGGCATACAAGCAAGTTACTGTAGTTGTAGGGTGAGAACATACAGTGCATAGCTACTCGACTGGAACTGCCTATGTGCATGCTTTACCTTACTTTCACTGAGGCACAAACTTACTCCACATTTACCTTGGGCCAAGAGCATGCACATGGACTGTGACCCCACAGAAGCTGACGCTCTGTAAGTTTCCAGTTTTCTTTACCTTATGTGACTTATTTGTGTCCTCAATGAACTTTTTTCCAGGTGCATGTAAAATGCTGTCCATATTTCATTAGTATTCTTCATAGTGGTATATGGAGATTTTTTTTTCAGTCTGGGCATTTAGGTGTATATGTCTTCCTGTAAGATTTCACTTAGCATAAAACAATAGCTGTAGTCTGGACTTCAAAGAAATCACTTTCATGAATAAGGATCTTCAAGATTAGATCTTAATTAAAATGTATCTGTAAAACTAATACAGTCAAATGAAACTGGTTAAATATTACAGGTTCGGTTGACTGTATTAGTT